TGGACGTCTCGGCCATCGTTGCCATTATGTCGCCGAATATCAACGAATAGGTCGGTATCGACAGACCCATGAGGAACGCCATTATAGCACCGGTAAGCACGAGATACCTGTCCGGCTTCAGCAGACTTAGTAGCCGTGTCTGAGGTGGAGATTCTTTGACCTCTTTGGGAACTACACTCGACTTACGGCTCTTCATAGCTATATCTCCGGCACCGGCCGTATCGCTGTCGACACTGATGGCACGGGTGTGAAGGTGACCGTTAGACACGGGCTGACTGTCCTCCCAGTCCTCATCCAAATTGACATCACTTTCCACACCACTTGCGGACTGTTGTTGTGTTTTCACTAAATTATAGTACAGTCCTTCCCTTTTCATGAGTTCCTCATGACTTCCCACTTCCTCCACTTTACCACTTTTTATGACAATTATCTTATGGGCGCACCTAATGGTGGACAGGCGGTGGGCCACTATGAACGTAGTCCGGCCAACACTGGCCCTATCGAGCGCCGCCTGAACCACGGACTCAGACTGTGTGTCCAAAGCGCTGGTCGACTCGTCCAGGAGTAGGATCTTAGGCTTTCTGACGAGTGCCCGGGCGATGGCTATCCTCTGCTTCTGCCCGCCGGACAACTGCGAGCCATTCTCGCCGACCAGTGTCTCGAAACGGGCCGGTAGTCGCTGCACGAAGTCGTAGGCATTCGCGTCTACCGACGCCGCCTCCACGTCCGCCTGACTGGCCGACCCGTAGCCCAGTCTGATGTTGTCGGCTATGGAGCAGCCAAACAGCACCGGCTCCTGACCCACGACACCGATGCGATCCCGGAGCCAACCGACGTTCAGTTCGCGTATGTCGCGGCCGTCGATGAGCACCTGACCCCCGGACACATCGTAAAAGCGTTGCACTAACTGAATGACAGTGGACTTGCCGCACCCGCTCGGCCCTACCAGCGCCACCGTCTGGCCCGGCTCTGCTACCAGATCCAGACCTCGGAGCACCGGTACGTCAGGTCGGGACGGGTAGCTAAAGTGGGTGCCCCGTAGCTCTACCCGTCCTCTGAAGTCGGCAATGGTATCGCCGGCTCCGGAACTGCTGTCGATGTCCGGTTGGCGTTGGATGACCTCAAAGATGAGGGCCGCCGACCCCCTCGCCTGTGCGAAGGCCTCGAAGTAGGGGGTGGTCTGACCGATGCTGAAGGTGCCCATCAGTACCGCGAAGAACACTATCAACATAGTGGAGGCCTCGTAGAGGTTAGACCCGTCCTCTATGGACCGGATGATGAGCCGCACGCCGTACCAAAAGGCCAACCCATACGAGCAGTATATGCAGAGCCACATAATCCCGAGCCCTAACCCCGTGAATAGGGTGCGCCTGACGCCCGACCTCTTGGCGGGCTCTAAGTTCTTGTCGTACCTCTCGATCTCCCGGCGCTGACCGTCGAAGGCGTATACCGTGCGAATGGCGCCCAACACCTCCTCGGCCACAGCACCGGCTTTTCCATAGGAGTCGGCTTCGGTGGTCGAGTACTTGGCTTGAATCTGATGGGAGAGGTATGGGAGGGTTGTGTGGATTGGATCGGGTTAGTTTTTAGTTTTTAGTGCAAAAAAAGGAAAGGTGTGTGAATTATGGGACATACCTTTGCGATAATAGCAAATGCGATGATCAGTGCGGGAGTGATGGCCAGTATGACTAAAGTGAGTTCCCATCCATAGTAGAGAGCCGTTCCCAATGAGCACAACACCGTCGAGAATGCAAACAGACAGAGGGATACCTAACATAGACATACAGGTAGTAAATGTAATTGTACCACTGTAATGTAGTTTCGATAATTAAGTATTACGAGTGCACCCACCTTATCGCCCACCCCCTCTTGAAGTTTGTCTAAATCACTGTCAAAATATATGTAAAAATTAATGATTAGTTTTACTACTAATTATAAGGAGATTTAACGTAATGTCAAATTCTTGGGTA